AAGTGAGCACCGTAAAGCTGAGAATTTGTCTCAAGACCATTCATTTCTTGCTATTTTTATATGTGCAAGCAGAAAATCAATTAGAAAGCGTTTTTCTGGAGTGTGCCAATAGCGGCCGTGTGTCGTGGGTGCTGACCCGCCAGTCATTAATGCTCTCAGTGCATTTCTGTGTGTGCATTGAAGCAGGTTGTGGGCGGTAAAGCCAATCCTCGTTTCAGGGTCACTTGAGTTCTCCGTCTTGTATAACACTATTCACGATATTCACCTTCAGTCTTTATTTTTGTGGATCAGCTGACGTGTGTGGGATTATACGTTCCTGCACCTAAAACTCGGACATCAAACCATCAAAAGCTCCTTTGCTGTAACTGACCTCGATGCTAAAAACAGCATTGTTGAGTCTTGCATTGCATAACTCATCTCACAACAAAGAGAGGCCTCTAGTGTTAGCGATGAGACCTGTGGCAAGGGTTTCCATTAAGACTGGGGTCACAGATATCTGCGTGCACCTGTGAGACTGAGCTTATGACGTACTAACCACTGTGTGTGTGACCATAGGCTGTCCAATCAGCATGCAAACAACCCCGGTTCTGTCTAACGAACTTTACACGATTAAAGAGTCACTTCTAGAGCATAAAGTGTGCAAGATGTGCGGTGTATGGTCACAAAGATGTTTCATTCACATTGATTGATGGATGGATGGATGGATAGATAGATCCACGATGAGAAAATTTAATAAATACATGCTGCTTAATTAAACAATAATATATATATATATATATATATATACTGTATATATATATATATATATATATATATATATATATAGTTTCCTCCAGACCAAGAAAAAATCAGGATAAAGTGACGATAAAAAGATACATCAAGATTTTTTTAAAGTAGCAACATGTCAAAATTAAAAAAGCAACAACAAAATTAAAAGGAAAACTATAAGAAATTGTACTTTCAACATTTTATGGAAGCAGCAATATATTGTTATAATTTTTTGTGTCGTTTTTTCTCATGATTATTGATTACACTCAGAAAAAGGTACAAAAGCTGTCACTGGGGCTGTAACTTTTCAAAAGGTACACTTTTGTACCCAAAGGCTGCATATTGGTACCTTAGTGGTACATATTAGCACTTAAAATGTACATATTAGCACTTAAAATGTACATATTAGCACCTAAAATGTACATATTAGCACTTGAAACGTACATATTAGCATCTAAAATGTACATATTAGCACTTAAATGTACATATTAACACATACATTGGACTTATTAGCTCATGAAATGGACATATTTCACCTAAAATGTACATATTAACACTTAATATGTACATATTAGCACCTAAAATGTACATATTAGCACCTAAAATGTACATATTAGCACTTGAAACGTACATATTAGCATCTAAAATGTACATATTAGCACTTAAATGTACATATTAACACATAAAATGGACATATTAGCTCATGAAATGGGCATATTTCACCTAAAATGTACATATTAGCACCTAAAATGTACATATTAGCACTTGAAATGTACATATTAGCATCTAAAATGTACATGGCACTTAAATGTACATATTAACACATAAAATTGACATATTAGCTCATGAAATGGACATATTTCACCTTAAATGTACATATTAACACCTAAACATCTATCTATCCAACCATCAATCCATCTAGTGATCATGAGAAAAAATTATAACAATATATTGCTGCTTCCATAAAATGTTAAAAATACAATTTCTGATATTTTACTATATATATTACTTTTCTCCATCTCTGGTCACTCCTCCAACCCCTTAATCTTGAATTTTCAGTTACATACCAATCAGTTTGTCCACATTAATGTGAAGCGCACTGAATTTCTGACATTTACTGAGAGTGACAGAGAGAGAAAGATGAAGGAATAACAGATGAGTAACCGGAGAAGGATGAAAAGGAGCTGTTTGAATGCTAAAATGTGATTTGAATCAGAAACAAGCTGTTTGGGCATCACTCTGGGGGTCACTATCCTTGCAATTCTGTCAGCAAACTGCCCTTTCAGTGCAATCAGGGAGCCGGTTTCATTTCTTCAAACGACGCCGTTGATACTACACAGGACAAGGTGATAAAGGATCACTGTCTTTCTCTCAAGAAAGGCCATCTGTCAGACCTTGTGCGTGCTTGTGTGCGTGTGTGTGTGTGTGGTTCAGAAGGATAGAGTGGGCATCTAATCATCCTAAGCCAAGCTTTAGACATGTGTGTGTACACAGTTGGTGACCACCATCACAATCACAAACGGGGCCTGTTCACAACTAGAGACATGAGAATGAGCGACAAGACTGAGCTCAGTAAACTGCTTGCCGTCGTTCCAGCAGGCTATAAAATGAGTGTAAATGTCCTGCAAAACCAACTGAAATGTGTCAGCACTATTACAGGGAGAGTAAAGCTTTGGCTCGGCTCAGAGGAAGCCTTTAAAACTGCTTTACATTCTCCCCGCTCGTATATCACGAAGCGTCGCTCAGAAGTTACCTCAGTTAAAGTCTAAATGGCACTGAAGACATGGATATGAACAGTGATCGTCAAGCTCGGACACGAAGCATTAACTTTATGAGATGTGAAACGAGGACACGGCAATGCGAAATTATGATTTAATCATCATATAACAAGATTAATATTTGGTATTGCTGTGACATTTGTCTTAGCACACTGGACTTTTAATGCCAAGGACCCCTGAATATGAGGATCTCTTTGCAAAGGAGGGACACCCTAACTAAAATATGATGGCAGCTGTATATTTTCACGTAGCCTGTAAAGACCCTTTTATGATATTATAAAGAATTAAATCTTGTCACAGACATAAAGCCAAAGCGGTATCTGTAAAATATTTAGTTTACCCTGACTCTTCTACACACTATTAAATATATATTTGAAGTGAATAAGCTCAAAATATACACTCTAAAAAATGCTGGGTTGTCTCAACTTTGTCTCAAATATGGACAAACCCAAATGTTGGGTTGAAAATGTAATAAAAAAAAATGTACAGTTGAAAGTGAAAGTTAGGTTAAAATTTTAAATTACATTTTCAACCCAACATTTGGGTTAGTCCATATTTGACCCAAATTTGGGTTGAAACAACCCAGCATTTTTTGAGTGCATTGTAAAATCTTTTTCTTTGCTCCTTTTAAAAAAAAAATTGTTTTGTATTTTCCTCTTTTTTTTATTATTTACATTTTACTATTTACCACATTTTTATTTGAATTCACTAAAAACGATGACTAAATATGCACTCTAAAAAAATGCTGGGTTTTTTCAACCCAAATTTGGGTCAAATATGGACCAACCCAAATGTTGGGTTAAAAATTTAATATAAAATGTTAACCCAACTTCAACTTTTACCTTCAGCTGTACATTTTTTAATTACATTTTTAACCCAACATTTGGGTTAGTCCATATTTGACCCAAATTTGGGTTGAAACAACCCAGCATTTTTTAGAGTGTATACATATTGTAAAATCTTTTTCTTTGCTCATTTAAAAAAAATGTTTTACATATATTTTCCTCTTTTGGTTTGTGTATTATTTACATTTTACTATTTGCCACATTTTTATTTGAATTTGAATTCACTAAAAATGATGACTAAATACACTCTAAAAAATGCTGGGTTGTTTCAACCCAAATTTGGGTCAAATATGGACCAACCCAAATGGTTAAAAAATGTAATTTAAAATTTTAAACTTGCACCTTCAGCTGTAAATTTTTAAATTACATTTTTAACCCAACATTTGGGTTTGTCCATTTTTTAGAGTGTGTGTTTGGCTATTGGCCAGCATTGGTCACATGGCCCAAATGATTTCATCAGAGCAGCTAAACCATTTATTTTTGAGTAAAAATTACGAAGACAAAGCATGTTTTCTTTGGAATAATGTGCAGATTAGACGTTCACAATAAGAGTGGTTTTATCTGTATTAAGAAAGTAAATAGGGACTATTTTGATGTTTACATTTCCATGTAATTGCAGCAATTTTGTGGAGCACCAAAAATACAAACCTCATTGTCCCTTCACAATCATAATAGAGCTTGGAGTTCAAAAATAAAGACGTGCATAAGCAGGGAAAGGTTGAACTGATTGACTTTATGTCCCACAAGCTTATTGTCACTAACAAAACGAAGAGATACACACCTGTTTCAAACACGCAATTTCTCTCTTGAGTGCACACACACACACACACACACACACACACACACACACCCCTCCCTGAGTGTATAAACACTCACACACACTGATTGAAGATCGCTCAGCTTGTGTGAAGTGAAACAGGGACCGTGCTCTGTGGAGAGCTGAGAGTGTGAGATTGCTAAACGCTGATATACAGATGTGTGAGTGGAGAGGGAGAGATACTGGAGTGTGTTTAGAGAATAACAGCTGCTTGGGAGGATCACAGGGAGTCCAACATTTTGTGCTTCAGTGGAGAGAAATGTGGTTTAATTAGCAGTAACCTTTTAGGTATCAAGAGACTAGCCCATCACATGGCAGTACACACACACAGCTAGTTAAAAAGCCGTCCTCGGCCACAAGGGCAGAAAGTTTTAACATGACAACCAGCGGCTACTGGCGTCAAGCCGAGTCAATGTTTACGTGCAAATAAAGCATGTCATCTTTATAAATCTGTAACAGTGCTGGAGGGGTCAAAAAATAAAGAAATATTCGTTTTTTTAATGCAAATTATATTATCTAATCAATTTGAATCAGTGTAAAATGTTTTAATATTTGGATCATTCCCGAGAAAGGATCGTGTTCTCGGGAATAATTTGAGATGATCTAAAGAGCATCTTGATGTTCACTGAAACCAAGAACATCTGACTGTACAAATGAGTTCACATTTACATACAGACTATATGAATACATTTTTTTCCCAGTATATGGCAATGGCATTAGAATATATTTCATATAAATAAAACATCATAAAAAAAGTAAGACCGATGAAAAAAAAAAAAAAAAAGTTCTCACCGTTTTTCACCAGCTTCAGCGTGAAATGAAGTGTTCAGCAATCCCAATATCCATCCCAATATCCATCCCAAAATTCCCGCAGCAGAGTTCTGGATAGATCCACACAAGTGAGTGAATTTGAGAGACAGGTGTGCCCTCGGTGTACGAACTGATGATTTCAGTGCATGATCACAAAGACAAGAGAGAAAGGAAGAGAAGGACCTCTCGAATGAAATCTGATGGAATCAGTGCGTGACACAGATATCCCTCACTCTTTTAGAAACAGGGTGAAAAAAGACACTCCGAGATTTTAGAGGAAGAGTCCCAGGAAGGTTGAGATAATATGTAGTCCATGCCTCAAAGGATAAGAGAGACTCCTAAAAGAGACAGACAAGGGACAGTGAGTCCTTACCCTGAGGCACTCCTAGAGCAAGAAGCCGGTGCTGAGCATTCCTAAATCAGCTTTCCGTCCCTTGCACGAACGCATTCATGGTCCTCTTCCATCTTCCTCACGTCTCGGGGCTTGTGAACAGTGTTAATCTCTCGCCGTTGTGCTCTGATCTGCAGCTGAAAGGTACAGAATGAGCGAGGCACCTCCCCCACCTCTGCTAATCCGGCCCACTCTGGGACAGCCCCTTTTTGCTGCAACCAATCAGAGCGAAGGCTCCGCCTCCAGGCCTGCCTCCACTCTCTTCCCCCTCTCTCATGCACTAACACTGACACATTATACACTGGATACTTGATTACACTGGACAGACTGATGCAATACAAGTCCAAAGTCTGGATCTGAAAATGTACAGAAGGGGGTTCTGCAAATAAATACTCCACTAAATGTTTAATTATAATTCGTGTTGATTTGCTTTCAATAAGAGTTTATTTGAGTTGACATGAGGGACACTGACTGGTGGCTATATGCAACAAAATGGGAAGGAAAAAATACTAATGATTTCAAGTGTGTCGATAGATTCTCTAAAGACGGCAATTAGGTTTTTTAATTGTTTGGTTTTACATTGACAAAGTGGGGCTCACATTATCTTGCTCATTGTATGGTTGGACACTAAGTGTACAGTTAGGAAATCTCATTTTCTGCAACTCTAAGTGCATTATTTATTGGTAAAGAGAAATGAATCGCTTGATACATAAAAAATGATCGTGATTAACAGTAAACGACTGTAAAAATGCAAGAAAAAAACAGAACGTTTCCTTATATGGTAAATAACAGTGATATATATATATATATATATATATATATATAAAAAAATGGTACATTTAATGTAATTTTACTGTAAAATACTGTTAAATTTACAGTTAATCACTTGATACGTAAAAATGATCGTGATTTTAACAGTAAAAGACTGTAAAAATGCTACAGTGAAACACTGTTAATTGGTTAACAGAAAGTTTCCTTACTATATACGGTAAATAACTGTGATATATTTATAATGGTACATTTAATGTAATTTTACTGTAAAATACTGTTAAATTAACAGTTAATCGCTTAATACATAAAAATGATCGTGATTTTAACAGTAAAAGACTGTAAAAATGCTACAGTGAAAAACTGTTAATTGGTTAACAGAAAGTTTTCTTACTATATACGGTAAATAACTGTGATATAATGGTACATTTAATGTAATTTTACGGTAAAATACTGTTAAATTTACAGTTAATCGCTTGATACATAAAAATGATCGTGATTTTAACAGTAAAAGACTGTAAAAATGCTACAGTGGAAAAACTGTTAATTGGTTAACAGAAAGTTTCCTTACTGTATACGGTAAATAACTGTGATATATAATGGTACATTTAATGTAATTTTACTGTAAAATACTGTTAAATTTACAGTTAATCGCTTGATACATAAAAAATGATCGTGATTTCAGTGCATTACAATTAAACGAAACCGATATTTAAACTTCAAAAGGTCAGTAAATTAATATTATATCAGATAATGAAATACGGTTTATTGCTGTAAAATTAATTACGGTTGAAAGTCTGTAAAACCTGTTGCTACCGTATTTTTAACAGGAAAACTCTGGTTACCACAGCTGCCAGTTTTTTTCCCGTAAATTTAACGGATTTTTTTTTTTTTACAGTTTATTGTCATTTCCAATTCATCTGTAATTTCTCAAATTCTGCAAAAAGCGTGAAAATATTATTTAATTGTGTTAGAATGCATAAAATGCAAATGATTTTGTCCTTTTATTACAAAAATATAAATAAAATAAAAAATAATTTGGATCAATGTCATTTTAACCAAAGAATGTTTATCATTTGAGATGTGTTGGAAAAGACACCTTCAAAAAAAAAAAAAAACTGCTGAACTTTGTTAGTAGATAAATTATATAAACTAGTGAGAGTGTGAAAAGTGTTTAAAGAGAGTTTCATTATGCCCATAGTTGAAAAAAAAAACTGCTTATATAAATTACACAAATAGTTTCCTTAAAGGGCATTTACACTGACACTGACATGCAGGCAAAGCAACCAAAACTCATTCAGTTTCAGTGAGAGTCTGAGAGATGCCATTTGGCGATGCAAATAAAAGTTGAGCAAAGTTCAGTTTTATGTAAATACAGAGTGACACAATACGGCATATACAAACGGGAATGCAGACAGCGTAACAGCTGTATTGACCTCATGGTAACTGAACTCAAGGAAGAACTCCTACTGCAACTAACAGTAAGCTACTTGGTGACCTCCAACTGTCAGTGTGAATGCATGCAAGTTCACACTTTTTAGATGCATCTCACTTAGTACAGGTGTTATTTAATGGGCTTTCACACTGACTGCGATTTGCCATGACAAAGAAACCAAAAGTCAATCAAGTTCAACGAGAGTTGGGAATTTAAGATGACATGACTGACGGCAACAATTGAACAAAGTTCAACTATATGTAAATGCACAGCAATGTGATGTGAAACTGGAGCAAAACTATCAACTCATGATACAAATGGATGCATCAGTCAAGCAAAAATGCCTACTCGTGAACAAACAGTGGGCGGCCACCAGCGATTCAGTCATTTTGAACATATGGTCACCACAATTTTAGTTGCATATATCTCATTACAGATATACAGATATAAGATTTCCTTATCCGCACAGCACTAAGGTGAGTGGTAGACATGGAAGTGTGACGGTGACTTATATGGATGACACAAATTGTTTCACAATGGGCATTCTTACTGACCGTGATTTGCGTGAAAGCAACCAAAAGTTATTGAAGTTCAACGAGAGTTGGCAATTTAAAAGGATACTCCACTTTTTTTGGAAATAGGCTAATTTTACAAGTCCCCCAGAGTTAAACAGTCGAGTTTTACCGTTTTCGAATCCACTCAGCCGATCTCTCTTTCTGGCGGTACCACTTTTAGCATAGCTTAGCATACATCATTGAAGTGGACAAGACCGTTAGCATTTCTCAAAAAAAAAAAAAAGACCAAATAGTTCCGATATTTTTCCTATTTAAAATTTGACTCTTTCTGTAGTTACATCGTGCACTAAGACTGACGAAAAATGTAAAGTTGCGATTTTCTAGGCTAATATGGCTAGGAACTATACTCTCATTCCTGCGTAATAACCAAGAAACTTTACTGCCGTTCCATGATTGCAGCAGGCACAATGATATGACGCAACAAAGTCAAGTTTTAAATAGGAAAAATATCAAAATTATTTTTTTGAGAAATGCTAATGGTCTTGTCCATTTGATGTATGCTAAGCTATGCTAAAAGTGGTACCGCAAGAACCGGAGATCGGCTGAATGGATTCAAAGACTGTAAAACTCAACAGTTTAACTCTGGGGGAGTTGTAAAATGAGCCTATTTCCAAAAAAAGTGGAGAATCCCTTTAAGATGACATGACTGACAACAACAGTTGGCGATGCAACACATTTTATATAAATGCACAGCAATGTGTTGCAATGACTACCAATGCTGGAGCAAAACAAGCGCCTCATGATACAAATGGATACAGTGAAATCGAGCAGTGACCAACAGTCGGCGACCTCCAGCGATTCACTCGCTGTCATTATGAAAGTAAGGTCACACTTTTAGTAGCACATGTCTCAGTGCAGTTTGGAAGTTTCCTTATCCGCAGCACTAATCCAAGGTGAGCGGTAGACATGGGAGGGTGACGCTGATTTCTTGCCCATATGGGCCTGTCAGGACTGCATCTGGAGGATAGGAGCTTGGCAGTGCTTTTGAGCGTGAGCATGAGCATCAGCAAATGAAGAGTTCCTCATTGACTCCAGTTGATGGTCAGAGGTCACCGCAATCTCTCCAGTCTGTTGCCCGAGTCCTCTTTGCAGTTTTCCGTGCTCTTTTTCACCCAGCAGACAGAAGGCATTATTTTCAGCCGGGCGGCCACAGACGTGCGCCATCACACCAAAGCACTTCATGCTCCAGAAATCGCAGAGTTGCACAAGAGCACCAGGAGCTCTGGCCAAATGCAGACAGAGCACAACCCCCCATGAAGCACCTGCCTCACACATGCGGGGAACTCTGGCGGAGCTGTGAAATCGGTCAGTTTGTTGACAGCTGTTTGTCGAGATGGGAGGTATTGATTATATCTTGGGGGTGGTGTGAGGTTGTCTCTGTCTCTCTCAGGACTATCCACCTCCATCCGTCTTTATTCCATCCCTCGCTCACTCTTTGTGCCTTACTGGACAAAGCGAACGCCTCTGGGGAGGATGCTTGCCAATGTCCAGACAAGTGCTGAATATTTGATGCGTCCCCAGTGGCATCGGAAGTCTCTTAATGGCTATCTTTAACATACGACCGCCTAAATCAAAGGCTTGACACTCACTGCGAAAATACTCTATCAATAATGTACCACAGCTGACCAAAATGAACACACAACGACACAAATTACAATTGAAAATGGAATGAGTTGTCAGCTTTTTTGCAAAAAGTCTTTGCAGCTTATTCTACCAGATATCAATATTTCATGTCCATCCATAGATATTTTTTCCAAACTGCTTGTTCTATGTAAGGTCACATGGATGCTGAAGCAATCCCAACATCAGTCACTCACACCTTCAGGCAATTTAGTGTCTCTAATTGCTACAAATCTTTGGATTGTAGGGGAAACTGGAGCATCCGGAGGAATCCCAACACCAACGCAGGATCCTGCCTCGGCTGGGATTTGAATATGCAGTATGCGGTCCATTCCCTTTTTTATTGGTGCATTCTGTCAGATAAATGACCTGTGTGTAAAGAGGGACTGGATGGCGGCCCAGTTCAACTCAACTTAGACATGCTCGAAGCACAAACAGGAATGAAATGTTGAACAACTGAAGTAGAAGATGCGCTAATGCTGCTTGTGGATCGAGTGGATCCAATGATGTGGAGCGGGAGAAGTTTCACACAGGGAATCTAAAGCACACAAGACACACGCATGTCGCATGGCTACACTTTGACATAAATGCGACTTGAACCATCTAAATACATGAGCAGCCAGCAGACCTCACAAAACAGCAATGACTCATGCCCACATGTCTGATTTCAGGCGAAACTTTCCATCTCCGTTCCTCTCTCCAGCAAGTCCATGTATGTGTGTGCGTCTGCAGTTTATTC